ATCAAAGATCTGTTTTAAATATTAAAACAGATACACGAAACCTGCTGGAAGAGAGACTAGGCAGAACTCTTGAAGACATTGATGTAGGCAAAAATTTTATGAACAAAACCCTGATCACACGGAAATATCACAAAAAAAATCAACAAGTGGGATCTCACATTAAAAAGCTTTTGCACAACTAGAGAAACCACCAACATAGTGAAGAGACAATCACAGTGTGGGAAAAAATGTTTGCCAACTGTTCCTCAGACAAAACTATGATCTAGAATACATAAAGAACTCAAAAAAAGCACATCCTCCCAAATTTATTTATTTATTTATTTATTGGGGTTTTTGTTTTGTTTTGTTTGTTTGTTTTTCTGGTACCGGGAATCAAACTCATGACCTCATGCTTGCCAGGCAGGCGCTGTGCTGCTGAGCTAAATCCCCAGGCCCATCCCCCCAAATTTAAAGACCTAGTCCAAAAATGAGCATCTGAAGGGAAGACACCTCTCAGATGAAGAAATAGAAAGGGCAAATAAATATATGAAAAAATGTTCAACATCACTAGTCATTTGAGAGAGATGAATTAAAACAATGCTAGGATTCCATCTCACTCCAGAAAGCATGGCCATTATCAAGAAATCAACCAATAACAAGTGCTGGCAAGGCTGTGGGGACAAAGGAATCCTTCTTCACTGTTGGTAGGAGTGTAGAGTGGTGCAATCACTGTGGAATTCAGATTCTTCAAAAAACTAGGACTATGGGTTTCATTGGACTTAGCTATTCCCCTTGTTGGTATCTTCTCAAAATAATTAAAAACATCATATGCGGCAATAGATATGCACACCCATGGTTATAGCAGCACATTTTGTAATAAGCTAAATCTTGGAAACAGCCCAAATGTCCAGCAACCAATAAGTGGATAAAGAAGATGTGGTTCTTATATACAATGGAGTACTAATACTCTGGCATAAAGAAGGATAATCTTGAGATATTTCTAGGTAAATGGATGCAACATACTCTTAAGTGAAGTAAACCAGACACACATGTGTAAATACCACATAGTGTCTCTTGAATGAGAACCCGAAAGTGCAAATAACGACCGAAATGTATAATAGATATTGTAAAATTGGAAGAAAATGTTCAAATAAGGAGAACTGGAGGGGGGAGAAGCAAGGAAAGAAAGGAAACAAAAATAAAATGAAAAAATGGGAACAAAGTTTTGTAAATTGGGAGAGGAAGAGGGGTTGGAGGGAGGGTACGGGTGTGGGGAAAAAAGAACTAAGCTATATCATGTACACATACAAATTCCCTATGATGAATGTGATCACTATGTATACCTAAACTGTACCAATAAATTTAATTAATTAAAAAATAAAACACATTGTTCTCCACCTGAAAAAATATGAAATAAAGTGGTAAGTATAGGCATAAATATTAATATAATTTAAAATAACTATGAGTGGATTATATTCTCCCTTTGAAAGAGAGAGATCCTGACTGAGTGGATAACTCAAAATCTGCCTACGTGTTGTTTCCAAGATGTATGCATAAAACAAAACAGTATAGCCAGGCATAGTGGTACATGCCTGCAATTCCAGCACTCTAGGAGGCTGAAGCATGAGGATCACAAGTTTGAGCCCAGCTTGAGCAATCTAGTGGTTTAGCAAGACCCTGTCTCCAGGAGGAGGGATGCTGAGGATGTATCTCAATGTAAAGGCCCTGGAATCAATACCCAATACCACAAAACAAACAAAAAGAAAGAAAGAAAGGAAAATTCTTTACCAGGTAAACATTTACAGAAAGAAAGCATCTATAGCAATAATATCAGAAAAATAAAATCTAAGGTAGGGGCTGGGGATTTAGCTCAGCGGCAGAAGCGCCTGCCTGGCAAGCGCAAGGTCATGAGTTCGGTTCCCGGTACCGGAGAAAAACCAAAAAAAAAAAAAAAAAAAAAAAAAAAAATCTAAGGTAAAGGCATTAAAAAAGGCAAAGAAGGTGTTTCATGTTGATTAAAGGTACAGATCACTAGTCATAAATTTTTATGAATATTTCAACATAATTTTATTTTTATTTTTTATTTTTTTTGGTTTTTCTCCGGTACCGGGAACCAAACTCACGACCTTGCGCATGCCAGGAAGGGGCTTTTGCCGCTGAGCTAAATCCCCAGCCCCTTCAACATAATTTTAAAACATTAAGTAGCTGGGTGTGGTCACACACACCTGTGACCCTAGCACTCAGGAGGCTGAGGCAGGAGGATCAAAGTGAGTCTGAAGCCAGCCTGGGTACATAGTGAAGTCAAGGCCTTCTGAACTGCATAGCGAGACCCTGACTCAAACAAGCAAGCAAGCAAACAAACAAACAAACCCACCAGCCAATTCCATTATAAACCTAAACCACAATTGTTACTCTCACTCTTCAGGAGTAAAATGGGATCAAAATTTGGGAATGTTTCTGCTGAAAAATGTACGAACTCAGTGTGCTGTTCAAATCTTTTTTTGTCTGCTCCAGCAGCTGATTCTGAGAGATGTCTGTGTCTCCCACTGTGATTGTGGAGCAATCATTTTCACTGTTTATGTTTAGTCTTTGCTTGTTTAGTTTAATTTAGTGTTATGGTTTGTGTCTGCACGTCCCCCCAAATCCTCATGCAGTCACGGGGCAGGCCTCTAGATTTATGATTGATTTCTGGTCCAATGTTGGAATTATGGATGTGAGTGCTACACCTGCCCTGGGGTGGGTTGTTTGCATACAAAGTAAGGGAGGGAAAGAAGCTGCCTGCCGCCCCTCCTTCCTTTTGCTCTTGTTGCTTTTGCTATTTTCTGCCACCGTAAACTGTTGCCCTCTCCCATGTGCCACTCTGCCTTGGAGCCAGCCAAGTATGGACTGAAACCTCCACAAACTGTGAGCTAAATAAACCTTTCCTTCTTTAATTTTGGGTGTCAGGTATTTTGTCTCAGCAATGAGAGAAAAGTACCTAAGACGTTTAGTTTAGTTTAGTTTAGTTTAGTTTAGTTTAGTTTAGTTTAGCTTAGTTTAGTTTAATTTGAGACAGAGTCTCACTGTGTAGTCCAGGCTGGCCTTGAGTTCATATGTAGCCCAGGCTGGCCTGAGACTCTCTGTGATCCTCCTATCTCAGCCTTGCTACAGCAGATTATTTAACATCCAGATTTCATTTATTCATGTTGAGTATTTTTTCCAGCAGGATTTTAACAAGCACATTAGAAGAAGAAGCCATGGTTACACTTCTTTGTGTCTTACATATTTACTGTCATGCTGATATATACTAGGCAGTTTTTGTTTTGTCGGGTTTTTTTTTCTTACTTTACTTTTTTTCTATTTTTTCATATTACACATTTAATAAATACTTTTTGGTTCCTTATTTATTTATTTGTTTGTTTTGGTTTTGTTGTTTCGGTTTTGTTTTTTTTTGAGACAATCTCCCTATGTAGTTCAGATGACCTTGAACTGGCTATACGCCCAGGCTGGCCTCAGACTTGCTGCAATCCTCCTGCCTCAGCCTCCCAAGTGTTAGGGTTATGGGCATGCACTACCATGCCCAGCTGGTTTTGGTTTTTTGAGACAGCATCTTGCTATGCTGTCTAGCCTGGACTTTTGGATGGGGACATGGCTCGTCTTGAATTCCTGGACTCAAACAATCCTCTAGCCTAAGCCTCCCAAGTAGCTGGGACTACAGGGATGCACCACAATGCTCAGCTTGGAATAAATACTTTTTGAATGCTGTGTTTTAGTTTTTGGTTTTTTGTTCTTGGTACAGGGTAGCTAACCCCTTGTGCTTGCTAAGCATAAGCTCTACCGCTGAGCCACAGCCTCAAGCCTCTGAATAACTATTGAACTATTAAATAGGCAGCATTATACATTAAATGACAGAACACCTTTGAAATTACCCTGGAAGATTACTGTGTAATATCATTCTTTTAAGAACAGAACTCCATATCACTTTGATCTATCTTGGAGTCATTACAAACGATTGGAATATCCTCAGCTTAAGGCCCTAAGGCAATATTTCTGGTTACCAGCACAGCATCTCACTTGGAAACACCTGACTTTCAGATTCCTTTGAAGTTGCAGATTCCTATACAGTTGAAGCCAATGTATAATTTGAAGTTCTAGGCATAGAAGATTCCAGAAACGTTTGTTCAGTGGAGAAGACTCAACTGGGAAGGCTTTCGCCTATTGGCTTTTACCGCTTTTCCTTCTTGCCTGGAAGGCCAAACACTGAGAAGGTTCTGCAGCTGTTTTGCAAGCATGAGGAAGGCAGCCACATGCTAAGGGAGAAGGGAGAGAGAGAAGTCTGGATTCCGGATGGCACCATGGAGTGGCCATCTAGCCTTAGACTACCTGCTTTTAGATCCCAAGCTATGTAAAAAAAATACAGATTCCATGGTACTTGCGTTCTTGTTACAAGTCATGACACACAGTCCTTGCTTGCTTAAAACGCAGCACCAACACTCTTACTGCCACTCTGCCCCATGATGGATCTCCCAGGCACTGTGCCTTTGTGCTCCTCCTGAATAGGTTACTAGACTGCTGAGGGGCAAGGATGCTTGAGTGGGGCAACCGGAAGTAGGTGGGTCCCAGAGGCATAATTTTTATCAACAGCACCTTTTCTCATTCCAGGAAAAGAAATGAGTCATTCAGCATTATAGCATCACTATTTTGTGGTCAGGAAAATTGAGGGTCAAAGTGAAGAAAAATCAGCTTAAGCTGTGTCCCAAACCTATAGATTACTGTCCTGTGTCCTGTGTCCCAAGCCTATAGATTACTTCATCTTGTCTCTCTGTCCCATACTGCAGGCCTCGAATTTTCCTGTAAGGTCCTTTTTGCTTAGTTTGCCAGGAAAATCCCATTTCTTTTTTCTCTTTGTTTAAACCAGTTTCTCAACCTCAGCAGTACTGGCATTTGGGGTTGGACAGTTCTCTGTGGGAGGGGCTGCCCGGTGTCTTGTAAAATGATAGCAACCCTAGGTTCTGTGCCCGCCAGGTGCCAGTAGTACATCCTGCTACCTCCAGCTGAGACAACCAAAATTGTCTGCAGACATTGCCAAAGTCTCCTGAGGGCTAAGATCTCCTCCAGGTAACACCCCATGCCTTAGATCCAGGTTGAATATCCTTGCACTCTGTACTTGCTCTGTTCCTAGGCAATTCCTGGGCCAAGGATTTAGCTCAGTGGCACAGCACCAGCCTGTCAAGTGTGAGGTACTGAGTTCGATTCCTAGTAAGAAAAATAAATAAATAAATTCCCAGGCAATTCCCCTAGACTTCCAGCCTCGAGGCTGTGGCCCTGGATGGCTTGAGCTCAGCTGTCTGTATTTCTGGACAGGCTCTGTGATCCCTTCAGGCAGGGTTGTATCTCACTCAGCAGCTTCCTGATTATTGACTAAATAGATTTAAAAATGACTCTGGAGGTGAGTGGAAACAGAATTCAAGAATTCTGTCTTCCCACTGCCGCTGTTGTGGCACTCGTTTTCAGACTCCTGTGTCCCATGCTTTCGCTGTGTCATACTTTATAGATTCCCGTTCTCTAGAGGAGAGACAGACTCTGGCAAGGAAGGGCCGCGCTATTCATTGTCCTAAACACATCAATTAAAATGGGACAAGAAAACAAAATGTTTAGGGTAACTTTTTTTTTTCCTCAGAGACAGTTCTGAAAATTGAACCAGGGCCTCACCCATGCTAGGCAAGTATTCTGCTATGGAGTTGCATCCCCCGCCTTTTTATTTTTTTAATTTTGAGGCAATGTCTTGCTAAGTTGTCCAGGTTGGCCTTGGACTTAACAGTCTTCCTACCTGAGCCTCCCAAGTAGCTGGGATTTCAGGGGTGCACTACCACACCTAACTAATCTCTTATAATCTCACAAGAAAAAAATGGAAACTCTTAAATGATCTGGGAGAAAGTAAAGAGGAAATTTCTATATAAAATATTAATGTTTCCTTCATGGAATCAAAGTGGAATCTTGAGCTTACTGTAGAAAGTGTTATTTTTACTTATCTGAGTTCCAACTCCCCACATCATTTTTAAAATGACGTGGCAAAAGAAGGAAGGCAAAACATAAATATATATCTATGAATACCTGCGATGACTGTATTGCTGTTGTCTGACGGTGTATTGAAATGAACAGTTAACGCTCACAATTTTTTTGTTTTTTTTTTGTTGTTGTTGTTTTTTCTCCGGTACCGGGAACCGAACTCACGACCTTGCGCTTGCCAGGCAGGTGCTTTTGCCGCTGAGCTAAATCCCCAGCCCCTCTCACAATTTTTTATGTTCTGATCGACTTTTCCTGCTTGTGTCTGGTGATCTGAGCAACTGATTTGAAGGTAACAATATGCAATGGAATTACAATGGTGAACTCCTACCATCTTGTCTAGTGAAACTCTCTAATATCTCTAGTGTTTTATTGAAGAATTATTTTCTTAATCTCTTTAATGGTTTGAGCAATCTCATTCTTACATCTGATAACCTGGGCAATGCAGTTGAGGATAGCAATATGCAATGTAACAACCACGGTTGATTTGTATTAATTTGTCCTGAGACCCTGTATCACTTTGAATGTTTTTGCTTTGATTTGTTTATGTTCGTGATACTAGTATGCTGCCATTGTTCTATTTTTGTGTTTGTTTGTTTCTCATGTACTACTCTCTTTAAAATTAAAAAATAAATAAAATGAAATACAATCACATGGTACATTTGTCACAAGAAACCAACTGCGTAGGACTTCATTACCTTCTAGAAATGGATGAGGTCATTTTGGCTTGCTAGGACTGTTGATCCTCATGTGTTTCTTTAATTTCTTCTCTGTTTGTTTTGTTTTTGTTTTTTTTTTGAGACAAGGTCTCATTAAGTAGCTCAGGCTGGCTTTGAATTCACAGTGATTCTCCTGCCTCAGCCTCCCAAGTGTTGCAATTACAGGCGTGCACTACCATGCCCAGCTATTTAATTTCATTAGTTGTTGTTTTCATTTTTTTCTTCACTGTGCTAGGAGTCAAACCCAGGGCTTCTCACAAGGTAGGAGAGCACGCTACCACTGAGCCACATCTACAGCCCTAGTATATCTGTAAAGAACATTTGTGAACTGTTTTAGTAGCATTGAGGCTCCCAGTGTATGGGCAGGAAACGCTCCCAGCCATGTTGATGAATGTTTCCTTCCATCCTTTGGCTGCCCACGCCTTTCTAAAAAAAGAGTTGCAGTACTTCCTGAAGATCATTTGTGTGTATTAGGGTTCTGAGAATTTCACTCTTCCTTTGGCTTCTGCAAAATGCTGCAGTTCATTTGCAGATTGAAGACTAAACAGCGACTGAAGATTCATTAGAAAAGTGCAAGGATGTCACACATCTTTCTCTTCACTTGGCACTGACCCAGAGCAGTAAATGGTTCTGTATTTGGTTTTGTCTTTTTCAAGAAAACACAAACTCTCCATTGTCCAGTAACTGTTTTTCGCTCTGAGGTTCAAAAGTAGCAAGGGAAGCAAGTTTTATCTTGTTTGAATAAAGTAAGCACCAAAGGGTCCCATCATCACTCTTAGGAGAAATAAAATCATGTCACTGGTTTTGAACATTCTGAAGCTTTGTATTTGGACATAATTTAAATCTATGAAACAGTTGCAAGGCTAAAATGGAGAGAGGATGGTTAATAGGCACACGGTGCAGTTGGGCAGGAGAAATAATGTCTAATGTTCTGTAACACAGTAGTATAACAGTGATTGACAACAATTAACTATAAGCTTTCAAAATACCTAGTAAAGAGGATTTTGAATGTTCTCAGCACAAAAAAATGATAAGTGTTGTGGGGGGGAGCACACAAATTATCCTGACCTGATTATTACACATTGTATACATGCACTGAAATGTCATGCCGGGCCCCATAAATATTTGCAGTTATGTGTCAATTAAAAACTGTCACAGTAGTTTTTAAAATATTGTGGCTACACATGGTGCCACATGCCTATAATCCCAGAATTTAGGAGGCTGAGGCAGGAGGATCACTGTGAGTTCCAACCTAGTCTGGGCTACATAGTGAGCTCAAGGCCAGCCTGAATTACAGAGTGAGATCCTGTCTCAAAACATCAATAAATAAACAAATTAAACATTGCAAAGCTGGTACAGAGAATTCCCATACATCTCTCATTTAGCTTCATTTTCTCCACGGTTATCTGCTTACATTGTTGTCAAAAACTGAGAAAACAACACTGTCACATAGCTATTCACTAAAACAGCCTTTATCTGGATTTCAAGTTTTTCTCTTAAACCCACTTTCTGTTGCAGGATCCTGCACTGGTTTTGATTACTTAGCTCGGTAGCCCATCTATTATGGCAAAAACGAAAATATCTTGTGGTTAATTTCAGTAAGATATTTACCTGCGGCGCGGCCCTGACTCAAGCTCACCTTGCTGGACAAAGGTGGTGGTACCCTTAGGCAATGCCTGGTTCGGAGGAGACTATATTTCCTGAAAATGATCTGGGGACTCTCAGCGTACAAACAAACTTTCTTTTATTTGTAACTGACTTTGCACAACTAATACTCAAGTGGAGAAAGAGAGAAAATTGTGTTTTTGTGACAACACCTAGAATTTATGTGTTTGGATTACACCATACTTTGGGATCCTAATAATCATCCAAGAGCCAGCTGGGTAAAATGCAGTATAGCCCAGTCTCTTACCTGGCGACTGAAAGGAATATAGGAGAAAAGCTTCAGGCCTGGAGGAGGAAGGAGAATCCTATTTGCTTAAGAGCACTGGGAGACTGGTCACTCATCTGCCAAGATTTGCCCTCCCTTCTGGGAGCAGCCTCTGCCTACCGGAGATGGGGTTCCTGCTTGTGAGATGGGTGTAGGGAAGATTTGCAGTTCTCCCACACACATTAGGTAACCATGGACAAGTTGCTTAATCTCTCTGAGGTCCAGTTTCCTTGTTGCTAAAATGAGACTCAAAGGGCTGGAGATATAGCTCAGTGGTAGCGCATTCAGCTAGCTTGCTAGCATTCACAAGACCCTGGGTTAGATCCCCAGTGTGCACACAAGCACACACGCACGCACACACACCATGAAAAATGAATTGTGTTTGGAACAAGAAAATTCATGTTGGCAAAATGCATGATATAGAGAAAATATCTGATATATGTGAAGTATTATTATTATTACTCTTTCTCTTTTTTTTTTGGTACCAGGAATTGAACTCATGACCTCGTGTTTTCCAGGCAGGCGTTATGCCACTGAGCTATATCCCCAGCCCAGTATTATTATTATGAATGAAAGGCAGTCTTCCCTAATCCCAACAAGCATTCCCAGCCTCTTCTTCTTCTTTGTTTGAGACAGGGACTCACTCTGTAGTTCAGATTTACCTTGAGCTCACTATGTAGCCCCAGCTGGCCCCTAACTCACAGTAATCTTCCTGCTGCAGCCTCCGAAGCGCCGGGCTTACAGGCATGTGCCACCACAACAGGCTGCCTGGCCTCTTCTTTGTTGTCATTAATCTCTTCATTGTCTCATCCTTTCTTCCATCTCTAGATACATGGCAGCCACGAGGTTCGAGGCTTGGGAGTTCATAGAAGGCTATGTGGAACAATGGAGTATCTGAGTCTTTTGTGTTTTCTTTCACAGTACTAAGGACTGAACCCAGGACCTTTGCACTGAGCTATATCCTCAGGCTCCCCCCTTTATTATTATTATTTTTTTTTGAGACAGGGTCTTACTAAGTCCCAAGTTTTTTTTTTTTCCGGTACCGGGAATCGAACTCACAACCTTGCACTTGCCAGGCAGGAGCTGTGCTGCTGAGCTGAATCCCCAGCCCCCCAAGTTTTTAAAATACTTTTAAATGTATTTTAAATACATTTAAAATACAGCCCATCCTGGTGGCATATACCTATAGTCTCAGCTTCTCAGGAGGCTGAGGCTGGAGAAACACTTGAGCTCCATAGTTTGGGACTAGTCTGAGCAACAGAAAGAAACTGTCTCTTAAGAAAAAAAAAAGTCAGGGGCTGGGGATTTAGCTCAGCGGCAAAGCGCCTGCCTGGCAAGTGCAAGGTCGTGAGTTCAGTTCAAAAAAAAAAAAAAAAAAAGTCAAACTAGGTATAAATTTTGAT